CACCCCCCTCCCTTTCTTTTTTTCGGGACCCCCCCCCCAATTTTTCTTCTTTTTTAAAAAAAAAAAAAAAAAAAAAAAAAAAAAAAACATACATGGCTGGCTGTTTGCAAAGTCATGGGGGGAAAAAAAGCAGCGTCGCCCATTGCTGTTAAGATAAAATGTCTTTAAAGTTAAGCTGTCGATACACACGAATCCACTAAAAATACTGAACTAACACCTTAATTACAAAACGGAAGTCCGGCAGATCCTGACGTATAGAAATTTTAAGATTGCGAGTTGTTGGTTAATAGCACATCAGTATTAAACTGTTAATCTTTCGACAAAATATACATGTTATGTCTTTCAATTCAAAATACTTTCCTTGAGAAGATGGGAATAAGGGATCCTGCAGACATGTCCTGTCTGCATTTCACAATTTAAATAATGTTCGCTAGAAATTACATTTGGAAACGTGACCCAGAGCTAGCACACAAATTCAACAACCCAACTCAAATATATGTACAATTAAAAGCTTGTTTATGAATATATGGACCAAACTATCGGCATATCATCTGCTGAGCACGCATGCACGCACGCACGCACGCACACGCACACAGTGATTGCATTTACTGATAGTTTCCAGAGGGGGGAATTTAGGATTAATGATAGAAAATTAATGTAACATGCAAAACGGTGAGTTTCTCAGCTGTCACAGTCCCTCCTAATGAGAGGAGAGAGATGGCAGGAGTGTGAGAGAGAGGCAAAAAAAAAAGAAGGGAATAACAGTAAACTAGTTGGCTGTAAAAACAGGAAACAAAAGTGTGGAAAGAGAGATGGGTGTGAATTATAACAGAATGAGAGTGATAGCCTTGTTAACACGTACCAGATTCAAGCCAACTGAGATGCATCCATCTCTCCAGCTGCATTTTACTACTATACACACCGAAGAATAATTACTAAAGTTACTACATCATAAAATTGTTATTTTTACTACCCTGCAGTCACATCATTATTCAGTAGCACATACCAATCCTTTGGTATTATTACCGCAATGCAGACATATCATTAGACACAATTCTCTTGAGCCACTAGTGCAGAGGCTTCCTATCCTTCCTTTGTAATTGTAGAAATGACGGCTCCTTCTTTGTCTGGACTCCCTAATTACAAAGCAACATTCCAGAGAAAACATGCGAGACTAATGAGGCGAAAACTAACAGGTTTAAACACAGATTCTAATCCGCTGCATGTTTTCGTTAACTTCCAAAATGTTCAAAACGTTAATTTCCAATTGGCATTTTATGAAACATTAACTTTTGTTTTTTAGGTTGGTGTTGAATCCAAAACAATAACATGATTAATAGTAGTTTGGAAAAACAAACAAAACAAATCTCAAAAAGTATTAATCAGACTTCTTTGTTTGTTTGTTGTTTTTTTGATTTTTATTAATTTATGTTTGTGCTTTTTGGATTATATCTTATAAGTGAGCCTCCGTCCATGGATCCATCAAACCATCAACCATCGAGCAACCAGGGAAGCTAGAAGTCATGATCCTCTTAAAGTAAAGACATCCTGCATTTTCCAAACACTGTGCTACTTAAAATTATAATTTAAATTTATTGCTACTAATTAATCTGTAAAACGCTGGTGCGTCGTCATTCCTTTTACAAACAATTAAATGTTTTGTGAAGTTCATGTTTTCTGATTGATGTTAAGTGTATAAGACCAAATATGAAAAATAAGCTTGTTAAATCAAAGAGCAAAACAAAAAATGCTTCTTTTTTTCTTTTTTTTTTAAATGACTGATGCTTGTCAAACATTTATGGTGCGTCGTCGCAGCTTTGCTTCAAGAATGGATTGTTACATTCACTCGAAGTTATGCTCATTATTTTAGCAAAGTAACTGTGACACAGGTTAAGCATAATGAGCGTGCTACTTTAAGGAACAATTTAACTAACAGAGCAGGGACATTTTTTACCCATAAGTTATTTCCTAAAACACAGAGTTTGTATTTCCTCCCACTGCATCGATGTTGACCAACATCCCGATGCGCAAATCACTGTATGAGAGAAACTCCGGTTGTGAAAATAACTTTTTTTTTTTTTTTTTTTTTTTTTTTTTTTTTTTAGCAAACGCCTACATAACCCTTGAAATATTACACCCTTGAAATTACACTTTGCAATTTAGATCAATTCAAAGACACCGCAATGAAATCCAAAGTTGTTTGTAAATGAAAGGGGTCATTTCCAGAGGTAAATTCGTGCCCTAATAATCTGTTTTTACTTGGTAAATGCTGAGGAAATGGAGTGAGGCTAAAGAGGAGTCTCGGATAACTACTCTGGCTGCTGAAATAGGTACCTGCAGTCGAAACATGTCTGTTAAAAGCCATTATTACAATCTATGATATTAGACTGTGAATGAACTGAATGTGTTGATGGCATGCCAAAGGAAAAAGACTTTGCGGTAAGAGATATTCTTCTATACAGAATGAACACACTTTACCTAAGAAATGTAGCTGTTGTCTACCATTTTAAATAATTTTTTTTTTTCATTTAGTCCAAACAGTCAGAGACCGAATTAATTAATATCTTGAAATATGTTAATCGGAAAGATATATACATATCCACATATTTGGCCTTATATGCTTATCCTTAAAAACCTATGTTTATACATAAGGTTACCGTCATAAAATTGTGATTTCCCTTTACCGAGACGATTCCTCAGATGGCTGAACTCTTGGGTTGTTTTTTTTCTAAAATTGCATGTCCAGTCTGATTCCTGTAACACAACGAGGGGTGGGGCTGCAGGTGTTAAGCTCATATGTAATTAAAAGTGAATTTACCACAAAGCTACAGTGCAAGACTACATGATTTGGTAAAGTAATGACTTGTCTTAGCATGAGAACTCATTAGGGTTCTGCTGTCCTTTGGTAATTGAATTTACATCAGAAGATAAAAAAAAAAAAAAATGCAAGATAAGTGTGGACAGAGTGTCGGGATTTTAATATACCTGATTGACAGAGTACACTAATAGAAATCCACGTGAGCAGAACTGGTTTACCTAATTGCCACTTAGTTAATTAGCTTTAATGGGTTTACTCACCACCATTATGTTCCCATACACATTTCCTTACGGGGTTTTTCTTTTTTCTTCATAAACGTGGTTTATTTGTCAGCAATATTCACATGTTTTCAATATTGCTTTTTGGGGGAACAATTCCTAGAGAACTATAGCTGATTACTCCTGTCACAACTTTCGCTGCATGATCCATATGTGGAGCCAGCAGTAGTTCTGACCTCCTGGCAAAAATTCCCCAGAATATGAACTGTATTATCCTACATCCCAGAGCAGCTGGCAGTGGTCTTTCTGTGGCCTTTATATCATACAGGGCTAAATCCCCAAATCTCACTCACCCTGCTAGTTTCTGGCCACTGGTTTTGAAATGTTTCTAGGACACTTAGCTATTAGTTCTCTGAATGTATATAGGTATGTTCTACTTTATTACAGAGAAAATGTAAATTATAGATGAACAAGAAGAAGAAAAAAGTGATCAAATTAACCAAAGGCAAGGTTATTCCAACTTCTCTTGGGCATTTTCCTACAGTGAAATAAACTGAAGTGAAATGCTTGCAGAATAAATGCCAATTAACACATGTCATCACATCTATATGAACTGATGTCAAATGTTATGTTCACTTTCAATGAACTCTACCCTTAAATGAAGAAACAAATTTGAATAAAGCAAGCCATCTCCTTTCGACGAGCAAGGCTGCTGCAGGTAATATGTACGTTTTTCTTCACGGAGAAGTTTCAAATAAGTGTGGGTCACTCAAAAATGTTGAGAAGTTGAGAAGCTGCATTTAATTCGCAGCACAGCGGGAAAAAAAAAAACAAAAACATACTGCTGTCAAAACAAACTCACAAACCGGAGTGGTGCAATCAGCCTACTGTACATACACAAGTCAAAATTGAAGAGAAAATTATGTCCTAAATTTTAGTTTAATATTCTGGTCCTTCCCTCAAACCCCAGAAGGAAATCATTACTTCTAGCCTTCTAAATATGCATGTGGTTAATTATGCATCTTGTTACCACTGGCTAATCTGCATAAGACTCTCATGTATTAAGTCCCTCTCATTACCATTCAGAAGGCCATCTCACAGGTGTGCCAAGTAAGTGCACTGTACAACATATTGTAGCCAAAAAAAAAAAACTAAAAAAAAAAAAAAAAAAAACACAAACACACACCAACAAGGAGTCGATAAACAAGGCGGGAAGTGCAAGCGCATATGAATATTCAAACGTGTACAACGACATGATCAAACAAGCAGACGTGTGCTCGCTCGAGCGTGCAGGCTCCTAAAAATGTACACGTGCACATACAGGCGGGAGCAGTGGACACCCACCAAGAAGCAGACACATTATGCAACCCTGGTGACAGAAGGTCCAGGTTCCCTTGAATGGGTGGCAGTTCAGCCTGTGCCAACTCATTAAGAGCACAGCTGGCCATGTGGGTTGGAGTGGAGTAAAACCACAGGGGTCCTCAGATGAGCTTCCAGTAGATTTTCACACAATTGTCAAGAAGACAAAAAGCTCTTTGAGGCGCGTTGTGTATCATTTGCAAATGAAACTTGTTCAAAACCGCAGAATCACTTGACTGAGGCAAATTAAGCACCTGTAAATCAGTGCCTCTCTTTTGCTTGTAGGAATGCATCGAGTGTTAATGGGGGGTGGGGGGGGGAGAAAAAAACAAGCCTGGATCTTGTATTTACTTTGCAAAACAAGCATTAAAGTCTTCAAGCCTCGAGAAGATATAAAGAATATTTTCATTCGCTGCAAACTTCAAACACTCGAGTTTATCCCATGCCGCTACACTGGCTTTACTGTATGTAAACTGAAGATGCGAAGCTGCTTATGTAAAGCAAGCAGGAGCGTAATAACAGCTTGTAAACAGGAAGGGACTCACCCAGGTTCCATTTGAGTCCTGTGGTGACTGTCTGGCAGGGTCCACCTATAGGAATGAGGCTGCACCACTCTCCCTCCAGGCCGGTGTTTACCCCCAGTCTGTGGATGCCCTGCAAACACGTTGCATGAATGATGTGAATCGGTACGCACCCGGATACTGCACACGAATGCAATGAAAATGTGGAGCAGGACTCCTTGAACCGCTTTATTCCTGACTCAGCTACCACACTCACTCGCCAAGGTTTCATTAAAATAAGTGATTGCTCTTGTCAGAACTGTAGGCCTTGTTTTACTTCTCAAAGTTTAAACTGATCTTGACATGTTGAATTAGTTTTTGAGCCACAAATCATCTTAGAGATAGCTTTAACTACATTTTTGAGCAGCTTTAATCTGACATTTCACAGTAAGTAAACAAGTACAGTTTATTCAATAGCATCTTTAAGAAATATTAAAGATGCTATTGAGAAATTGTTGCCAGTGTCGATATGGTATTGTATGTTTGAATGAACATTAAAAGGAGGCCTATTTCTGAGGGATATTGCTCATGAAATGTTTTGTGTAGAAAAAAAAAAAGCATTTGCAACATTTCTAAATGCCACTCTCCTCTTCAAGAAACGAGTATTGGGAGACCAAAATAAAGATAATCACATAATATAGGTGGAAGTAAGTGTCCAACTTCTAGGGCTCAAATAAAGCCACATGCCAGAATATAGAAAGGTCAAAAACAAAGTTTGGTTATAAGGTGCTTTGTAAAGGTTTTCAGACATTTTTTGAAGAGTGATAGTGCACTCTACAAAACTAGCTTTCATGGGAAAGTTGCGAGAAGAAATTCATTGTATGGAGATAGTTACAGTAAGTCAAAATTCCAAGTTTGGAAGCTGGTACATAAGGATTTACAGTAAATATATGTATAGTTAAAGCATAAGTTGATTCTATTGATATGTGATTGAATCCAAATGCATTCAAATGCTGCAGGATATATCATAAATGCATTATTATCGCAATGTTGATGTGGCGCATAATAGTTTTGAAAAGGTTTAGTTGTACTGTAGTACTTTGTGACTCTTATAATTACACTGTTGTAAATTCAAACTTATCAAGCTAGAGCCATTCAGCCTGCTGGACGGAGCCTCACTGCAATAGATGCCCAAACCTGACCTGGATGACATCACTGAAGGTCAAACTGAGTCTGAGTGGAGTTAGAATAATGGAGATTTACTAAAACTAACGACCTCACTACAATATTTAACAATAACACCAAAGCTTTTCTACTACTGTGTGGCCGTGTTACAATCCACACTTAAAAACCATGTATTATTTTTGTTGAGTTTACACCTTGTGTTGGTTATCACATGGAATTCCAGTGCAATATGTCACAGTTGTAATGAGAAAACAATTTAAGAGGCATGAATGATTTTGCAAGCTGTCGTTTCTTGAGTATGGAATGCTTCTGGTGCTACGTTTTAAAGCAATGTACTTATAGCAACATCAGTCATCTAAAAGTATAAAAGTGCCATAGATGAACACAACAGGCACGTGTTATGTGTGTTACACAGACAGAAAGGGAATGCGTGAGGAACAGGTATAAAAGGCAAAATTATAATAACATAATGGACAACTTTTGCAACAACAATGTCTCATAGGCATTTTGAATAGCTCAATTGCTAAATTCTGTTGAGTAACTAAGCAAATACTGAAGATATTATAAGGGCAACAGGTTTAATACCAGTATAATGGAAGTCACATGATGATTAAATTAAAGGTCGCACAGGCCACAATGTTATAATTTCTAATTGAACAAAGAAATTAGAACTTATCATGCAACTACAAGCTGTAATTTGGCAAATTAAATACCACAACAGTTATGAATTACATTAAACATACGTTGAACGACGAGGCGGAAGAGCGACAGATACTGTTGTAAAAATGTCCTTGCTGTGCAGACGGTGTAACACACACACACACACACACATTGGCAGAACTTGTCATCCTGGGCTCACTTCTGTATTTATTTACACTTTTTATTTAAATGCTAAGTCTTTGCTTAGTTTATTCCAGCAGAGAGGCTTGGATGATTTAACACTGCTCGAGTATCACATTTCATCTTTTACATCAGCCGCCTCACTGACAAGCCTTCAAAGAGCAGCGAGTAAATAAGGCTGTAGTTTAAAGCTTGAACCAGCATGCTGGACTGAATTATATACGAGATCGGACAGATGCATCGTTGCACATTGTGTCCCACAACACACAGAGCGGGGAGCCCCCCAGACCCTCTACGGAGGGTGGCTCACATCTCGGAGTAAATATCACTCTGGTTAACCGAGTCTCAGTAAAGCACATCGCCAGAGAGAAGCAAACCTAGCTCAGCGCACCTTCTGTCCTTATGTTATTTATTTATGAGACTCGAATTAAGCAAATTTAGCACTACCTCGAGACTGAGACTGATTAAAACATCCTCCTGTTCTGCAGAGTCTCAGAAAGAAAGTGTCTCTACCCATAATTTAATAGAAGATATGATAATTTTTGCAGTGCTCCGAGACTGCGATCGAAAACACACGACTTCTGCATATTTCCTGGTGGCATAATTAGATTAAGAAACCTTATTTGGGAATCGAATAAAATAAGACAAACAGGTGCAACCTTGATTCAATTTGAGCTTATTTGTGGTTCACAGATTCAGAGATTTAATCAGAAATAATGAAACCTAAAGAATTTACTGAATAAAACATGAGGGATAACGGGAAGGATTTCACCTTTTTATTGAGGGTTTAACGTTTATAGAGTACATTTTGGGGACATTTTATTGTATGGAATAAGACTTGTGAGACTGTTTGGCAGCAAACACCTCAAATACATTTGTAACTTGAGCAAACAGCGGTGGGCTTTTCGAAGGTTGAGCCCACCTTCATGTACAGGAATGTGAGGCGCTGGCGAATTGGAGCTGCGCTGACAAACAAGCTTAATTTACCCTCGCTGAAGTTCAGATTAATTGGAGGTGTTGAGGTATGAAGCAGCAAATGACAACACGCCTTTAGAATAATGACAAGAAGTATGACGAGAGAAGGCAGGAGAGCGGGGGTTTGCTTTTGTCATCGGAAGGCATCACAGTTAGTTGTTTGTCCCAAAGACTTCAGAAAGGAGCAACTCAGCAGAGAGGTTGAGTGGCTGTGGGTTCAACGCATGTTCTAAAAGGCAGGTGTTAAGCCCACTTGTAAACTCAATCATCGGCGGAGCATGAGAAAGTGGCTGGCACAGAAAAAAAAAAAAAAAAAAAAGAGAGAGAAAAGAACAATTTGAGTGGCATCAGGAGAGACTCCAACTCTTACATTCACAACAGCAAATTGGGACATTACACAAGCAGAGCAGTGTGTAGATGAGTGAGAAAGTGAGAGTGTGCATGCGTGTTTTTGTTCTTGAAGTGATTATTCGACGGAAAAAAAAAAAGAAACAAAGCTTTCAACTCTCTAATCAAGGTAGAAACAGAGCAAAGAAAAACATTTTTTGAGGGAGAATAGAAAATAGGGAGAGCGCCTGGGAGATGGATGATTTGGAAGTTGTTAAGGGGCAGTGTTAGCCTCGTTTGAAGAAAATAGATTCTGAGCCTGCTTATGTATGCAGTAATTATATGCATCTTATAGGGAACATATGGTTATGTATAATAACACCACGATAAAAGTTCAGGTCTTTGGAGGCTGTCATTACAGAAATATAAGACTTTCTTCCACAGAATAGGTTTATTGCTTTACTTTTGCTGCAACTAACTGTTGCAGCAAAAGTGTTGGCTGGTTTAGGAATCTATTTTTCATACACATTTTGAAAGCAAAAGAAAAAAATTAAAAATAATTTATTTGCTTTTAAATGGTAGCAACAATTATTATTTTATCTGCTAAAGCAACACAAAATAATGATTGGTACAGCTGTAATAAAGTTAACTTTAGTCATTATATATATATTCCTATTTTGAAACACAGATCTAAGCAAAAATATAGAATAAATACTTGCTAAGTTTATTAGTAGTTTCCAATTAGTAGTTTATTATTACCTTTTTCTGTTCTACTCCATATAGTGAAACACTGGGATGTTAATTTAATATTAACTGATTCATTTTTATCATTGCAGGTTTTGAACTGTAATTCTCCAAAGACTAACCATCAATGCTTTTTGTTAGTAGCTTGGTATTGATGTGAAGCCAGGTTTAAAGATTATACTAGAGAAACAATCAGAGGAAATGATAATTAGAATGAATGAGCAGTGGATTATTTGTAAAAACAACAGGACATAATGGAAATAAGCCAGAAATACAATTTACTTACGGGTCGGAGTAAGTATGCCAAGCTCGTTTCCTGTATGATCAAAACAGGCAGCTGTGTCATGGACTGAGCATGAAAGAGCGTCTCAACCGATGCCATGGTTTGGTCAAATCTCCCTGCTAGCCCACCCAGCGTCACTATGGTGTCCACCTGTGAAGAGAATTGAACGACGGGGAGCATTTCTGAACTTTTGTCATGATGTACCCGTTTGTTAGAAAGTAATAGAGCTGGCGACAGGAGGCTTCAAGTCAATTTACTGTCGCTAAACCTTACCACCATGTTCCACCTGTTAAAAAAGCTTTTACATCACATCATTTAACCTGAAGGTATATTACTTTCTAAAAAAAAAGATAGATGTAAAAAATATAAATCTAAGTGGCTTTCTATTTCCAAGTATTACTCGCTGGAGCCGAGAAACCAGAATCTGATCAAACAATGGACAATTATGTCAAAACATCCAGTCGTGTAAATGAGTTCCCCGAGTCAATTCAGGAGATTAAAATATTAGGTGCAAATCAATGGAGCTAGATTATATAGCATGTCAATTTTGAGCCACTTGTTCGCTTAACCACCTTATTTACTGTTCTCAGCAGTTCTATCTTTACACTCCCCAAGCAGTCTGCGCGAGTGCTGACAGCCCTAAAGCCCAACAGAGTATAGAGGGCAAAGGAGCTTTCACAGGCTGATGACTGCCAGTCACACCAGCAACAAAAATGAACCAAGTTCCGTCAATCACACACACACACACATACACGCACACACGCACACACACGCCGATGTTTTTTACTTTTCCATTTTCATTACCTTTTTAAAAGTTCAGCAGCATTGGCTAGCCTGCAGCAAAACAAAATTTTAGATGACTTCATGGGTAGGAAAATAAAATACACCCCACTTTTTCAACAGTTTATAACAAGAAAGCACTTGGTTCTTTTTTGTAAAAGTACTACAAAATTAAAATTGTCAATATAAACAATGGCACAAAAAAATAAATCATTAAGTTTTTATTAGGAAACACCAGCTGAATTATCTAAATGGATATGTACTTTTGGCTTTCACTTGTATGTTTTTTTTTTTTTTTGGTTCCATTTTGTTTTGCTTGTTTGTTTTATGTTTGCACAAGTCTAGTCCAGTTCAACTCTAACTATAAAAGTAACAAGTTTCACCATTATAATTAACACTTGATATACACTTCCTCACAAATGTTGTCTTCATAAACGCCTTTATTTTTCATGGTCAAAAATTTGCCCAGTGAAAATGTGACGCCTCCACCTTATCCATAAGTTTTGCTCCAAAATAGAAAATACTTCTCACTGGTATGTCTCTGATTTGGAACAGATTTGTGCATTCTCTTAGATACGCGCACTTTGACATGAAAACCCTGCAAGCGTTACCTTCAGACTGTCTGATGAAAGTTAAAGGCTCTCGGAAACTTCTTTTTCCAGGAGACTGTCTGCGCTTGATCTTTTTATATCCTTTACCAAACTCCTAGACATCTGCAACCTTTTTTTTTCTCGAGGGTTTGGAAAACATGTCAGATCTTGGTATGATGACCTCATCCATTTCAGCAGTAAAGAGAATTTGGTATTGAATATGTCAGTGGTTTTAAATAACACTGCTTATAATCACCGGCAACAAACTTTGATATCTTATTCGCTATGAGCTTATGGACACGAAGAGGTAAAGACTGATTGGGTTCAATTTGCTTGATATGCAGGGGAAAACATTTGTTAAAAAAAAAAAGTTAGCAGTTTTCTTGGAACATTTTTTTTTTTTTTTTACTACAACCCGTATCAGTAAAACATCAGTAATTTGTTATAATTACATATGTTCTGCTTCTTCTCCTTTCAGTGTGAATGCATTAACCTATTTTAAGTTATTGCAGAATGACCTCCAAAATCTCACTTTGTCAATTTGATCATTTCACCTTATCAATTCATCAGTGAAAAACAAACAAACAAACAAAAAAGCTCAGATGAAACTAAGGGGAAATAAATTATCGGACTAAATGTGTCACAAGTTACTTCCTCACTCGGGAGATGGAGTTAAAACAAAACAGAGTGCTGAGATTTAGGTTATTTCAACATCTGGCTGACACCCGCGCGTGATGAAACATCGCCTAAGCTGTAAACAACAAGGCTTGATAAACAAACTCCCCTCTGTGAGGGAGACGCACTGACAGAGATGGGAAGGTTCAAAAAAATGCTAATCTTGCCGATAAACCCTTCACTGTGATTTGGTAAAGATTACAAAATCGCAGGGCAAACTGCATCAACCCACGGACAGAAATGTATCCAAGTACGCAAGACATCATTTCCAAATATTTCAATCTTGAATCATACGATCATGAAGCGTCTTATAAACTTTTGTTTAATGCAATCAAGCTACCTGAGTGGAGTAAAATAGAAACCTTTCCGGTTACATTTTCGGAATGTGACGGACATGTTTTTCACTCTTTGTTATGCTCCAGTGTCCACTTAATGTTGGCAATAAGCTGACTACCTGAACGTGGCTAAAACATAACAAGTTGAGGACAGTAAATAAATTGCTTGCATAAAGTAGCTCCACTTGATATTATGGAGTGTAGGCGAAAACCAACACTTGTTTTATACATGTGCTCATCAGGTCCAAGCTGCAGAATTTGTTTTCCTCTGCGTCTCCAATTGCAGCTGCATGTTTCCAAGCAAGTCTATTGGCCAAGAATTTCACCGAATACACTCGTGCACTATAAATGACAAAAACAATCGCTAAACCAAAGCTGGTGGTTGTGTGATGATCTCAAAGTAAGATCAGAAAGTGGTTACAGTGTAAAGTTGCTTTCTGAAGTTAATGGAATGCGACGTCTTTGCACCCAAACTGCACATCATACATGTAGTAAATAGCAAGATTAAGGCCACAGAATATACTGGAAAAACCACCACGTTTCCTTTCATTAGACACACCTGTCCAATTGCTTCTCAACAGAAATGGTGAGTCAGCCAAACACCTGCAAGGCAGGAAAGAGGGCTTGAGTTAATTTGAATGTGCCATGGTGATTTGAGGACAGACGACCTTGTTTGACTCATCTACTGGGATCTTTATTCACAAATCTCACTTGGGTTTCAAGACAACAGTGAAAAACAGAGAAAATATCCAGTGTGTAGCGGTATAGTGGGGGGAAAAAATGCCTTGATAATGTCAGAGCTCAAAGACGAACGGCCATACTAGTTCAAAATGACAAAACAACAATAAGACTTTTAATAACCACTCATTGCAATAAAAGTAGATGGAGTGCCATCACTGAAGGCACAACACATTAAATCTTCAAGACAGAAGCGGCAACTGGTGCAGAAGACCACACCAGTTGCTACTTCTGTCAGGAAAGACGAGGAAATATAGAGTTAACAAAGGACTAGCATAATTAAACAATAACAGAATGGGAAATTGTGTCTGGTGTGATGGATCAAAGATTTAAGTTACTGGTGATAATGTGATGCTGTGAGAGATATTTTCCTTTTACTCTTTGTGTTCCTTAGTACTGTGAAACACTAAAAACTAATGAATCTGAATGGGTTTTTTTTGTTGTTTTCAAATGTGAATATCCACAGCTGCCCCAGTTAGGAATATTTCTCTAAATACGAATGCATAGCATGTCATTAGCCTGTGTGTAATCTAGAGACCAAGGCAAACTGCTCTGTGCCTCTTACACAAAGGCTACATGTGTGCTCTTTGTTATTTTTTCCCCATTTCTCCAGAGCCACTAATAAGATGTGTGCAATGTTTGAAAAAAGAGCAATGCTTCATAGCACAGCATAACCCAAACAATTCTGATTCATGCTTCATAACTACAGTGTTATGGGACCTTACATGTTAAAAGGAGAAGCAGGTGTTTATGAACTGACATCTTTTCAATTCCCCGTATGGAAATAGTGACACGAGTAACTCCTGAACTTCTAGGGAGTTATGTGTGGGTTAACGGTAATGTTGTAATTTGGGATTGTTGTCTTTGGCTTCGGGTCTATTGCAGAATGAATCACAGCTGATGTTTTTGCCTCAGAAAAGCTGAGTTCATTTGTCATTTCTTGTGTTGAAAATGACTGTGATTTTAAGAGCTGAATGTTGGTGGGAGGGTTTGAAAAAATAATTTCAATTTCCATTACTTTTAATGGAAAATACACATTTTCAAGAAACAAGATACCGTTAGAATTAATTAAATTTGCATTGAGCGTTAGCAACCAACCAGTGTGCATATATTATGGGCACTTTCAGCAGAACAAAATCACAAAGTCACTAATAAAATCTACTGGTTTCTTGAGGATATGAAAGAGTTCACTCCAATTGCCTCCATGGTCACCAAACTGACAAATCTACAGTAAATGTGTGATGCTATTGTGTCACTATGGACCAAAATCAATTGAATGTATATTGTCAATGCAATATTGATACTGCAAAGGACCCTTTGGGATGAAATGCCTGCTGCGCTGAAAGCATGACATGCGAGAAAGATATTGGTGAGAAAAAGATGAATTCATCACCACTTTTATCATCATTATTTCCTAATATTGTGCAGTCCTAATTTAGCTCCTGCAAAGCTCACAGCAATTTCCAAACCCCTAAGCACCAAAGCCTTTAGGGGAGTGCCAGTTAAACAGGAGTAAATAGAGTTTACCGTTTAATTTTAGCTTCATTTAAAATAGATGTAAAGTTGCTCAAAAAAATTCACACAGCTACGAGAGAAAGGCTATAAACACAGCTTCTCATGAGAATGAATAGAGACAGGGTGACAAAGAAAGACAGAGAGAAAGACATTGTGCATTGGGCCTCAAGTTTCAACAAATAATTAGCTCAATCTTCACTTTACTTGCATTTTACTGGCGTTTGGAAACAACAACGCGGGACAGTGGCTCAGTAGAGTGGTTGGCTTGCAATCCAAAAGCTGTGAGCTCCCAGTCATATGTTGATGAGCCCCTGGGCAAGGCACTAAACACTGGTCTGCGTATCAGAATAGATGCACGTTATTGGGTGCAACTGGGTAAATGTGGCCCTAATGTAAGGTGCTTTGAGTGAAGAGAAAAGCACAAAATACATTTTGCCCTTTTATCATTTGTAATGGGCATTATTTAAAAATCTGAGCTTGTTTGTTTATTTCTTCTTTGTATTTGTTCACTAAAATCAACCCACAAACCAGGGCAAGGAATGGTATTTATGAAAGAACAAAGAACACTTCAACAAGCAGGGTGTACAGAATCAGCTTTTCTCCGTTTTGCCCGGCTGAAGGAGTCGGATCAAGCAGAAAGAGGCCTGTGAGATCAACGGAGAGAATCGTTGGAAAATGAACAGATCATAGCAGAACATTAAAACACAGGGTGCTGCCTCACTGTAAGCACAGACACAAAAAAAACAGCCATTTCCAAAGCACAGGCACGGTATTAAAGAGATAAGTACCTGCAGCCAAGGTACACACATTCCAAAGAAAAAGCACCTAAATCCACGATAATCCTCCGACACGATTCCCGGGGATTTTAAAATCCTATTATTTCACTGGAATATTTCATTCTCTTAAAAGGGCTAAGTGGATTGAAATTCGCAAAGGTGAACAGAAAAGGAATGTGACATTGCATTCACTTAAATTCTTAGAGAAGTTCAGCTGTTCTAGTCCTATTTTGGGTACTAAAGAGAGCTAAAGTTCAAGTATGAGTAGTAAAGGGTAAGAAGGAAAAATCTGACGAAAAAAGATCTGTCAGCAGCAAATGATAAAAAAAAGAGAAGCATTTTGTCAACTTCCTATCTTTTGCAAACAGTCAAACTAAAAAAAAAAAAAACTTCCCTTTGTCTTTCATTAGCTTAGAAATGTGAAGTGATTGGGACACTCTGCAGTGATTGGGGTAGCACTCAACATGGTGCTTACTGTGATAAGGGAGAAAATAAAAAAAAAAGGATATATAATAAACCAAAGAGGAGAAAAAAGTGGGGGAAAAGAAAACAAGACCCAAGACATCTTATGGCTGATCACTGCGTGAATATGCAGCATCCGGCTGGACACGAGGCTCTGTTGTCTTGCGGCTTACGGCAGTAAGTAAAACCAGAATATGTCAAATATTGTATTTTAGAAGAGTCAAAAGCCCCTTTGGGTTTTATATGTAGGTGTAAGTGCACCTAATGTTATTTTAATGATATTTCTCAAACCTTATTTCTCCAGGAAATGTTGAGTGAGCTTTGGTATTTTTTTCTTCCAAAAGACTCACGTTCTTTTATTACCCATACACCCACATATCCCAGCAGGAATTTGCCATTGGTAAAACACAGTCCGACGCTTCTGACCCCTGAACATCATTTCTTTCGCACATAGAGGACTGAAAGCTTCACTTCAGGGCACTGAACAGACAGAAAGGAGGACAGCATAGCCTACTTGTTTTTACCAAGGATTCATGGTATTGGATCAATAACGACAACAATGTAACATAGGAAGATTTTCGATGGCGTTAAGCAACGGCGGTAAATAGTCAACTTCCCTGATCGTTAAATGTCCGTACAGCTTAAAACTTGATGTTTTTGCAATTAATCTTTATAAGACTTAAAACTGTAAATTAATGATATGAGAAGAGTATATAGAACTATGTTATTGTATTTCTTAAATGTCCCTTTCATTGTTCACTGATTTTATTTTATTTTTTTTTTACTAGGTTTACTGTGAAGCACTTTGTGACTGCTGTCTGACAAAAGGTGTTATTTCAGATGGAAACTCCCCAATGTTTCTCATCAGACTGATGTCGGTCTCGCAAAACAGCTAACTTCTGTCAGCATGACATTGTCTGGTAAAGCGAGTACAAACTACCATTTCCTTGTGAGGCCATCTATGTTGGGAAGTGGTCCAGTAGTTAATGCAAAAAAAAACTTCCACGAAACATAAGATTGCCATCTTTGTATTTTAAGCAGGGATCGGGTTCTAAGGCATGCAATTTCCCCCCTTTTTCCTTCTAAAAGTAACAATCGTAACAGGCTAGACAATTCAGTTTTGGTTTAATCAGAGTACAAGAAATGCGTCCAAAAGGAAAATTCTTGTCTCTGTATTCCTGAGTGGCCTTTAAGACGATGTTTGTACTGAACTTGTCTCACTGGAGACACTGATTGAACCAGGATCTTCCCAATATATTTTGCTTTTGCTGAGAGGTTGATACAGATATTTTCCACCAATTATCTGCATCAGGAAGGGAAAGAAAATATTTCACCTTCCCGAATAATATGATGATGAGACATACCTATGATGTCCGTGTGTATAATTACATGAACAAATGAATGTGGCAACTTAAAACATTTGACAAATTGGAATCCAATGTTAAACCAGACATACAGAGATCTGTAATTCTGATATCTTGGTCAGTTTCCCCATTATTTGACACAAAGAAGCCGTGTGCTTTAGGTGGGTTGAAATATACATCCACTGGCAGGCCATTAATGAACTCAGATTTGGTTTAATCTCTCAAAGTCACAACGTTACTTTCCACTTTTTCCAGCTTTGTTTAAAGGCATATTAATATTAAATTTGCGGACAGCAAGAAAAGAAAGTGAGAGAAAGTTTTATCTGAATTGATCTCAGAGATTAATGAGAGAATAAAGTGGGGATATGCAGAGGCTGTTTGTCCTGAGTTCTATTCGTCGGGTCCAAATCCCAACCTCAAAAACTCTGTTGAGTGTCTTTCTCCTTTCCCATTTCTTTTCAGTCTGTCATTAATGCTGTGGCTAAAAGTGCCACAAAATAATAGTCATAAAAAAACAAGAAGTTATGTGTTTATTTATATGTGGTGCGTAAGTATCTTGCTGTATGCTTAAGACTTATTTAAAGTGAGAAAACCAGTAGTTTTTTGTTGTCCTGTTGTGTTAACGATGTGGATTAATATTCTAAAAATTGATTTTTGGCTGGCTGACATTGCTTGTTTACATAAGAAATCAAGTAGCTTCCACCACTTTTTTTTTCTTTTTTGTGTTACAGCATTTCGGGAACAGTGGCAGGCGAGACATGACAAGTGCTGTATGAAAATATTGACGTGCACCATGCAACCCTAAAGTTAGAATCTCCTAAAGGGCTATTTCACCGTTTTAAATGGACCACAGAATAGGCAATGGTTTTTTACATAATTATCAGAAACAGTCTACAACTATTGTAAAAATCTGAAGAAGTGACATTGCGGAAAAAGACACACTGTGTCTTTTGTTTCTAGAAAAGAAAAGGCAAGCATTTTATGGCTTGATGAAAACAATATGGTTCTCTTTGCGACTAGAGGCAGCAGACAGTTTATCCGACGATCCACAAACACCCAGCTCAAGTTAAATAAAGTGTAAATAAGACATATTTGAGAAATTTTTTTAAAAAAAAAAAGAGCTGTTGTCATTTGGAAACTGGAGCAGGATGAAAAGCATGCCTGAAATGGAGCAGCGTGTAGTTTACCTGCAGCTTTCGTCTCCGTATCTCTTCCAGCATTTTTACAAGACATTTGGTGTAGTCGGTTAGATCCTGGTCAGCTGTTTCTATGAGCTCGCACCCCTATGGACACAATGACAAATTAAAACACACACGAGAGCAACAAAACATGATTCGATATTTGTACCACAACACAGACAGTAAAGGGAAAACCAAGGGAGAGATAAGGAAAAGCAGAACAAAGGAAAGAAAACAGAAAGGGAAGCAGACATGGAGAGAGGTATAAATCAGTGTTTTAGTGCTGTCTAGCTTCCCGCGGGTTGTGTTGTTGAATAATGTAGAGGTTCCAGTCAGTGGCCTTAAACTACAACATCTAGGTAAACAACCAGGCTCTGGCTTTTTCCCCCATTCCATCTCTTCTTCTCTCCACAGAGTCACTTTGCTTCTAAAATGTGCCGTCTTCCTCATATCACTGGCACACACATGCAACATCGAGTTCACACAAAACTTGCTCGCCGCACTCCGTTTGATCACATCCATCCAACCTTCACTCTCCTCCTCCTTCCATCATTTTTCCATCCCTGCTTTCTCATTGTCTCCCCCTCCCTAGTGGCTGCCTTTCTGTTCTCTCTCTTTTCCATTTATGCAGAATTATTCACCGTTTGCGGCAAATCTCTGAAGGAACGCCTCAAACTTTTCAATTGTTCTGCTTCAAAAGCATTACCATAACAGTCTGTTCTCTCTCTCTCAAAAAAAGGCATTGCTCTTTTTTTTTCTCTTTTTTTACACAACCTGTGTGATATTTCTGAAAACGGTCTACTACTAGTGATAGAGACAGATGAGGGGAAAAAGAGTGGCAAAGCTGAAGAAATCCCAAAATCTGTCATCTGGAGGTGTGTGTGTGTGTGTGTGTGTGTGTGTGTGTGTGTGTGTGTGCAGGTTGTGAGCATGTGTAAATGAGAATATGCATGCATATTTAAGTTTTAGATCTGCACCAGTAATGCATAGAGTGACACAGCACAAAGACCACACAGGCTTTGTATTTCTTTTTCTCGGAGGCAAGCGTATATGCTTGACTGATTTCCCCTGTATTAATAATTTATTGAATCGAGCCTGTAGCTTGACATTCCACTGACTAAAAACAATGGGAAGACCACCTCAAAGATTGATTTGCATTTTCTTTTTTAACCTTGGATACTTTTTGTCTCCACAGTATAGGAAAAGAAGGCAGTGAAGACTAAGATGTAGAATCTAACTAGCGGATCCTTCGGAAAATCTTTCGTTCCTGTTATGTTTAATTCATAATTAAAAAAAAAAAAAAAAAAAAACTGGCCACAAAAGATGAAGATGGCTGCTGTAAGGTCTTTTCAGACTAATTAAAATGACCTTACAAGTCAAGTATCTGCACAGAAAATTCACACCGCTACATTGACATAGTTGTATTATTACAATGTAAGTTATTTAATAATTTTACATTAGCTCACAAAAAAAAGTGAGCACATGAAATTATAGGTTAGTGGTCTTAAATTAAAAATGAAGAAGGTTACATACAGTAAATTCTCTCCATCCTATCAGTATTTCTCTCTCTCTTTTTGTTCGATTTAGGACAAGAAAGACATTTTGCTAAATCATAACACCCCAACACAATTAGTGTAAGTAGCTAAAAGGACAGATTGCCGAGTCAGTAATGAAATTTAAAATCTTTTGTCTGTGCAAATCTTGAGTTGGAATCTGTACGTTTGATTCAGCTACTTAAACTTATACGGACAAAAAATAAATTTGGTGGCACCATTGTAAGGTTGGTAAAACGTTAAAATGGAAAAAAAAAAAAAAAAGGTTCTCAAATTAAAAGTTAAAATTTTTTCCAAAATATTTCAGACTATATGAGAATATGCTACTGCAGTGAAATATACATTTATTTTAAAGTACATTTCTACCATGTGTGCCAAAATATGTGGCCAGCATTGTGTTTTGAGTTAATAAAAAGTAGTAATGTGAAGGTTTTTCAGACCTCAGAAACTATATTTAAAAGGAAACAGACAGCATATTAGGAGGTCCTTTATCCCCAGTCCGGCTGTGTGACTGCTCAAAGTTTCACTGCTTCTACATGCACAACTGTGTGCGGAAGTTTTGATCCACTCACCTTGTCTGCATAGAAAGCTTTAACCTCTGGTGTGATGGAATCAAAATCCCCACTGATGTAGTCAGGAAGAAAGCTGGATGTAAGGACAGAAAGAGATGGTGAGTGACAGAGGTAAAGGGTTAAGATCGAGAAAGAGTGCAAGTCAGAGATATAAGGGAGAAGGGGAGAGACAACATTGGGGCATGTGTCAGTTCTTTGATCTGTGCAGCGAGGGAGAAGAGTGACGCCGCCGGGGGAAGACGCCGAGACATGGAAAGTGACAGGATGATTCTCTGTGGCGCTGAGCCTGGCCCCGTCAAGCTCACAGGGCTTGCGGCAGATGTAAAGATTGATGGAAAAGCACAGCAAAGCAAACATGGCAGCATCCAGAAGCAAAAAAAAGTTTATGTTTATGCTCCTATAATTAGGTACATAGGGCCTGAAAAACTCAAACAGATCAACACTGCAGAGTAATTACAGGCTTGGGGGTAAATTTGCTCATTAGTCACAAACACTGTAATAAACAGACATGTGTCTATTGCGGTCTGGCTCTCACACATAGAAATATAGCGTGGAATAGCTGGGGAAAACAAGGTTAAACGAGTTTTATTAGAAGTTTTTTTTTTTCCCCCATTCATACAAGTATTCTTTTGACAATGATAGGCGATACTATTGGAGTTTTTAGTTTATAAACACTTCAGTGAGCAAATGAAGGATAGGAAGGAATGCAAAATGTTTATTGTATGTTTTTCAAAGTTACATATGTGGACTAATGATTGGGTTTGTCATCATATTATTGAAATGTGTCCATAATTAAAGGCTTACCAGTCACACATTCACATATTTTATTTATGTCTAATAAAATCCATCTATGAAGTTAAAATAGAGAGCTGAGAGACTGGACAGAACAATAAATAAAAGGGCAAGAAAATCAACCCAGTCACAATGCATGAAGTAGTTAAGGAATAAAAATCTGAAAAACACAACAAAAAAGTTAAAAATTATTCAAAAATAAAGTAAAATTACTCATAGCCAGAGATGAGTCATTGGTATTTTTAGATCCAACAATAAAATTCGTAGTTTGCTTACGGTGGTTAAAAAACAAACATCTACAAATATTATATTATATTATATTATATTATCACTTGTTGACAGTGAGAGATACTATAAGTTGTCAGTTCAATTCAGAATGAGAAATTGGATGATGCAGTAAGTGATGTGTGTATAGTTGCCAGCTCTACGTGAAAGTAGAGCTGGCAACTTTCAAGTAGCAACTACAATTTTTCAACTGTAATTGTAAAATTGGGTAAGATAGTCGTTAAAATCATCTGTTTCCTCAGTTTATGTGATTAAATGGCAAATAATGCTTACAGTGGACAATAAATATCAAAGCTTTTTAGGACTGACAATTAACTGCAATGAAAACTGTCCTAAAGATGGTCAGTTTTATGATTTACATATATATGGAAAACAATCGCATACCTGTAACTCTTTAAGAGTTATTGCTTGTTATTAAAGTGCCAAAGAAGGAAAAACCAAAGTGATATTTGCTTTGAGATCTTAAGAATTACCAGGATAAAGGAATTCATATTTTCAGTCAATTCTATTAGTAAGAAGAGGCAAAATT